GAGACAGAGAACATGTTGTTACTGTGGTTTTTTTGAAATATGTTAATGCTTTGAAAGAGACGAGTAAAAGTAAAGGTTCAGAAAGACATGAAGGATCCGGAGGAGTGAAAACTTCGTTAAATAATGTATTAGTGACTCTATTCCCAGTGAACAAACAAACCCGGTACTTCCTTTTTTTCTTCTTCCAAGGTATATATTATGAATTTCCCCAAATTGTATAATACCATAGTGTGAACAAACGGATTATTATTACATAGTGTTAACTTATTGAACCCAACCCATTGAAAAGTAATACACTTATGACACAAAAAAAAAGAATCCCTTTGAGAGAGATAGTGTATTATATTATATTATAAGACCGAATAATCTAAACCTTGTTTTCCCCACTTAAAAATAAATAGAAGAAATAAAGACCAATATAATAATTTTTTGTCATGAACCCCAACTGTTCCCTACAAATCATATACACATCCCGATATCTTCCGTCTACAGTTCTTCTCTGATTAAATAACAGAACTGACGAAAATGGAAATGCTTAGAAGCCCTTTTAACCCCGCTCCCCGCTCTGCCCATTGGAAGTTCCACCCTTTAGACACTTTCATATAGTTGCGTTTGCCATCTAAATATGCCGTCCGCAGGATTGTTCTTTGACGCGACGTAACCCCAAGTGACTCGTATTCCGTACGAGCGCAAAACTCCCTATCTATTCCCTTGGCCTCTGAAACCAATGCCACGATGTGCGGATCGTGGGATCGCGCGGGTACTAACGTAACATCGTTTATTGAAGTCGTCCTTGGGTGGGGTGAGCTGTTATTGGTGGGAAACCCCCTTTAAAAGTGTTGTACATGTGCGTACTGCTTTCGTGTTTCTCCTTTGATAATATTTTGTGACACCATTCGAATGTGTGATCGGAAGAAAATCATGGTGTTGAGTGGGCTTATCCAATCCTGGATATCCAGTTGCCGTTGATACCCTATCCGCCCTGACACCCGGTATTCACTGTTTCCGGAACCGAAAATCGTTCTTTGGCTTAAAAGGTTCTTTTTGCAAAGCGACATGGCACGTAGAGATGTAATGGCCTATACGATCACAGCAGAAACAGTGTGCTTTGTTGGGAGGTGGTGGTGGTGCTGAATGTTTCTTCTGCCACACCACGGTGGTCTGTATGAAAGGATCATCCCCGCTTTTAAGGCTCAACGATAATCTCCCGAATGTCCTGCATCTTCACTCCCGGGAAATCCTTAACTGTTCGTATTATCCACATCTGCTTGTAAAGCTTTCATCCCATTTGAACCTGTTATGCCGGCATTCCTTCATTACGAATAATGTGTGTGTCCATTGCAGAAAAATATTCCATGCGCCGTTATAAGCTGGTCCAGGATTTGCTGGTAAAGGAAAAAGTTTCCCGTTATGCGGTCGGTCACCAATTGGCTGGGTGATGTCTTCACCAAATAATCTATCATTTCCTTCAAAAGGAGCGGATCTTTTCCTCCGGACTGATTACCTCGGTCCATGCCGTCTGTCAGAGTTCGTGTATCCCACGATAACCTAAACTTGGGCTTTCCACGTAATCCGTAGGTACGTTATCCCCTTGCCAAGTCATGTGTGATACATCAATGGTTGGTTGAGTGGAAATGTTTTCTTGTTTCCAAGTCGGCTCCTCTGCTGCTCTTATGTTTGGGTGGGACAATTCCGCCACTGAAGCTCTCTTTGCGAGAGTTGTTGTGGTGCCGCCATAAATTACGCTTGCGTTTCTTCCAATGGTGTTTTTGCAGTCACTGCTTCCTGGTAAATACATGCCATTCGGTTTTGTAATTCCTGGAATTGCATGTTTACGTTTTGTTGTGACTAAAAAGTTTTATCCTCCAATTGCGCTCGTGCGCACTGGTACTGATGGTATAAAAATGAATCTGTCTCCCACACTGCTGCCCATTAGGCACTGAAATGTGCGGGTGCTTACTTAAATGCTTGTATAAAGTCTGCGTTCCGCGGTATTGCGAAGCTAATAATGGAGGAACCCAAGCCCTCCCAAATGATGGATCTATTTTGGCCCATCGGAACCGTGAGTATGTCGTTTTCTATTGATAAAAAAAAAAAACGTGATAACTTAAATGTGGGGTATCAGGTAGAAGAAAATCAAAAGCAAAGGCCGCAGGGCCATTATGGCGCAGAAATGCCGTGAACGACTACGTGCTTGTCCGCCACTCTGCTTCTGCATACAACGGACAGGTCGTACTTCACATTTTCCTTGCTTGTAAGCTTCCTTTTTTTAGAAACTTAAGTGTGACAGAGTGTGAAGATAAAAGAGAAAAAAAAACATTCCCAACCTCAAAACACCAGTACTCCATTTGTTACGAAAAAACATGAGTATCGATCATTTCTTTTTTTTCGCAAACTGTCAGAGAAACAAAAAAAAACTAAAAAGTGAAAGTATATCTTTTATTTTTTCTGAATAAATAAGTGAAATTTTATCACTTAAAGAAAAGCATATAAATCATTTATTTTTAAGAAAAAGGAAAACAATTATGTATTCTTAAAAAAGAAAATAATTGATTAAGTATTATTGGGTAAAAACAAAAACCACACACACA